AAGACGATGAGCTAAACATGGGAAAGAAGAAAGTTTGCAAAACGTCCTTTTAGCCGTCAATTAATTAATTAAACTACAACATTAACAATGAGACTCAAAACTGGCACCAACACTTCTGAGTTGACAATAAAGCGCCATCACTGGCAATGGTAATTCCCAACCAGAAGTACAACGCCAACACTGGCCCCCTATAAGAAATAAACAACACAACTCTAACGTCTAAACTAAAACTAGAAATACGAATCGAATCCAAATTGAAAATATCCACACTGGTATAAAAACAAAAATTCACCCTAAACTGGGGCTAATGAGTCCTACCAAAGATTTGGTGCAAGACAAGGCAGCAATACGGCTAAGGCTGTTGTCAAAGATGTAGTGATAAAAAAAATTGCTACCACACACTGTCTTGTTACCACATTATTATTATAGCTTTTATATATATATATATATATATATATATATATATATATATATTTTATATAATTAGCGAAGCCTCCCTGTATTTCGAACTAAGTCTAAGTTATCTGGAAGGGGGCTCGAGGTTCGACACCCGACTCGGGCAGAGTTGTGTTTACTGAGCGCCTAAAAAAACTCCTAGATACCCCCTCTCCCCCACTGGTCCACAAATGAGATTGGACCAAAAGCGCATGCTATAAGCATGAAAGTAGCGCTATATAAAAGCTATAATAATAAAAAAAAAAATAATTTCTACACTGCTCAAGATAATAGTTGTGATTTGTGAAGGACTTCTTAGCGGCTACTTGAGATCATGCGACAACTTTATTTAACCAATAAGAACTCGTATGTGACTGGACATTGAACCGAATATATTCACACTAACGTCGATCTCTATAAGAAAAATGGCTTTAAGTTTCTTGTTTATCGTTTAGTGTGTAAAAGGAATGGACGTCTACTAAAAGCACTATATGTGAATGTAGGGTATTTAAGACAATTATTTTGATTAGTATTACAGTTAAAAGTGTAGAAGTTTTTTTTTATTGCAACGCTTTAAAAAGTGCATTGAAAGAGAATATTATAAAAAATTTTAAAACATATTTAGTGGCATTCATGCGGCCCTTTTAATGGCCACACCGGCCCATTCGCGTAAGTGCCCATAGAGCCAGCCCGCCCCTGTCGATAAATATAGAGTCTTTGTTATAATCTTTTCTTCAACATACAGCCTTATAAATAATCTTTAAACTAGCATTTACTTATTTTATATTATTCTAGCCATATTTCAATTCTATCGCCAAATTCTGTATACATGACTTAGCTTTATTTTACCTTATCCCGTTTTTTTCTACATATTCTATATAAAAACAGTATAAATTAGTTACGATTAATTGATATAATAAGTGATTGGTTCATATTTTGTAAGAAACTTTTAGTCAGTGTACAAAGTTTCAAATTGTTCCCAAGATGGAAAGTGGGAGAAATGACGTGTACACAATTTGTAGCAGACAGACAGAAAGACAGACATCAAGACAAACAGACAGCAAGACAGACAGACACAGCAAGACAGAAGACAGACAGCAAGACAGACAGACAGAAAGAAAGTTAGTTAATAAAAGATTTAAAACTAAATAACTCCTTTGCATTTGTGTCATGTGTGGTAGCATCTTTATATAAAAAAAATAATAATAATTTATACTTATTTTTTTATTAACAAATGTTTAGTTTTCAGAAGATAAAACGTAGTCGTTGACCAGAACTTTGCAACATCAAAAAAAAATAAATCTTGATCTTGAATGTTTAAATAAACCATCTATTACGATCAATTAAAACATGACTACGGGCCGACGTAGGAACGAACAGACAGACCACATAAAATAATATAGGCTTGAGCCCTTCCAAAGGCAACTTTAAAAAAAAAAGGCTAAAAACTAAAGTAAAAGTAAAAATGGTTTGGGTTTTAGACTTTTGGCACCTGACGCGGAGAATGCGCGCAAGACAGTTAGACATGTCCTCTCACAGAATGTGAACAAAACGGTGATGGCTACTTTTGTTGTGTTGTTGAGTGCTTTTGTAAACAGAGATCTTACAAACTCAACACCCATCTCTCTAGACTCTAGACAATAACGTTAAGTCTACATTCTAATTTTTGAATAATAAGTACATGTTATTGTTTGTGTACAATAAGAAATGAAAATCGATTTTCAGTCTTCGATTTATTGATTTTAAGTTTGAAACAAAGCGTCTGGGGGAATGGTTGAGAATTTCCAGGAAAATTCAAGTTTTTTTTGTTATGTTTCTTAGTCAACCATTTCTAAGTATGCCATGTTCATTAAGACTGTATGAAACTGTTAACATTATTTTAGCAACAAGAAAACACATTATAGCATTGGCAGTGTCTTGGATTAGTAAGACTAAGAATTCGTGCAGTATCTCACGTGACTATGCAAAAAAAAAAACAATCTCTTACGACCTGCATACTTTGCAATATTAGATACTGAAAAAGTAATTGTCAACATAGCTCTATTGTGGATTTCTTTTCGTAGTCTGCGCCTGTCTTCAGGAAGAGTTGTCTTTTGGTTCTCAACTAAGCAAGAAGGTTGAAGGTTTATAAAAAAAAAGAAATTATAATCAATAATAAACATTTTATCACCATGAAAGATATACATTTAAATGTTTAAAAACATTTTGGTCCTTTTGTAAACATCTCGATGGTCCCCCCTAGTTTGAACCCACAGACATTCTAGCCTACCTGTGATGGGTTTGGGTTTGACTAAGATTAAGACTTAGACTGCTTTATTGATCCTTACGGAAATTTGTTCTGATTCCAAGGATTCTTTTCTCATATAAAGACAACACAACAGAAAAATACACATAAATACAACAGACACAACATAAAGAGTTTATTCAGCGACTACACACAGGTATCTTGGTGCTTTTCATATTCCCTGATCAATGAGTGGTGGTGATAGAGTCTGACCGAGTGAGGTACGAACGAGTTTTTGTACCGCTCCGTTCTTGTTTTGATTGACAGCAGTCTCTAATCTCTTGGTTTGTGATGCGGTATTTACATAGAATTTTGAAATATAAGAAAAGCATTTGCCTAACTTCAAAGCATTTTTTCTATGCTCTGAATGATAGTGTTACAATCTTCTCAATCAGGCCTTCCGCAAGCACTACTTATCAACACAACACAGCACATCTAACTCAAGAACTTGACAAGAGCTTCAAGTAACAAAGTGGCGATTTAATTTACAAATACATCGACAGCCAATTCAACACAATTGGCTACATCAATTCAAATGCTTTCTTGTACTTAACAGAACTGCCTAGTCTTCCTAGCTCGTACAGCTACATCTTCGAGGACTCAAAGGTACCACAAGTCCTTACTGCTTTGCTGTTCTGGACTCAACTGTCCTTGTAAACACACTGTCTCTTGACCGTGAAGGCTCTTGATCACATGACCACAACACACGTCCTACTTGCGTGAACTAGCAGTACTGTCCCTTGTCTATCGACAGCCGTTGACCCGTTGAACTGTGTGATTGGCCTGAGTCGTGTGTATCAGTAGGCCGCACACACATTAACCCTTTCAGTCCGCCACTAGATAACGAACAGATAGATTGAGAAAGAAAGAGAGAGAAATAGAAAGAGTTAAGAGAGAGAGAGAAAAGGGTGAGAGAGGATGAGAATAGGTTGGAGAATTGTGTAGCAGATATAACTATTGACGTATCTCCATAATTTCATAGTTCTTGGTTAATTTTCTCTCTGTGGTGTAAGATTCTCATCAGGTCTGGATAGATTCAAGGGCATCCCAAGTTTTCAGTTTATTTAGTCTCTTCCAGGAATCTGACTCATAATCTTAACATTTTTAAAAAGTTTTTTTTTAAGCTTCTACACTTCTTTATGTACCGAAAAGTCAATGTTTTTTTTAAACAAAAAGATTTTTTTTCTTGGCCCTGGAAGAATTGATTTTGATTTTGAAGAGACTTAACATGTAGCACTGACGGGAAAATTGACAGAATTTGAAAGCCACATTTACGATTTATTGAATTAATATATCATGGGCGTAGCCAGAATTTTGTTCCGGGGGATTTGTGGGAATTTTTTCTCCCTCCTCCACCAATATATATATATATGGAGGCGCGGTTACTGAGCGGTAAATCGCTTGGCTTCTGAACCGGGTGTCTTGGGTTCGAATCCTGGTGAAGACTGGGATTTTAATTTCGGAATCCTTGGGCGCCTCTGAGTCCACCCAGCTCTAATGGGTACCTGACACTAGTTTGGGAAAAGTAAAGGCGGTTGGTCGTTGTGCTGGCCACATGACACCCTCGTTAACCGTAGGCCACTGAAACAGATGACCTCTACATCATCTGCCCTATAGAAAGGTCTGAAAGGGGGACTTTACATATATATATATATATATATAATATTTAAACACAAATCCCCTCTTGGCTAAGCTCATAGAATCTGGTGACTGATGAATGGATAGTGTTTTATTGAAGAGGGGGTTTTATCCTTAATTTCGGAGGCGGTTTTAAAATTAAAGTATTCCTTAGCTATGCTCTTGGAATTTGGGATTGTCGTTTACATTTTTTTTTGTTTTATAGAAAGGGAGATTTAACTGCAATTCCCCCTGATTGGGGGGGAGGGGGTTAAAACTCAAACCCCCCTTGTCTTGGCTACGCTTATAAAAGTTTTAGTGTGTAACTTGCTTTTTTTTTTAAATATTGAAGAGGTATTTTTTGGCATCAAACCCACTGAAGGGGGTTTAAAATCAAAATCTCTTTGGCTACGCTCATGAAATTTTGAGTAGTTTAACTCAAAACCCCTCTTGGCTACGCTCAAAGAATGTGGTGACTGAAGAATGGATAGTCTTTTATTGAAAAGAGGGCTCTATCACTAATTTCGGACGGGGGTTTTAAAATCAAAATTTTCCTTTGCCATGCTCTTGGAATTTGGGGATTGTCGTTTGTATTTTTTTTTTATTTGTTTTATAGAAGAACCCCATAGGCTGAACTGGGGCAAATGATGGCTTGGTATTAAAATATCACCTAAAAATACACAAAATCAAAGCACAAAATCAGTCACTAAATTCCTCAACACCACTGCGAGGGGGAATTTCATTTCGGAATGGGGGAGGGTCGGGGGACCCCAGGCTATGCCCATGTAATATATATTTATAATTTTTAAAAGTTACAGTACAAACTAAATACCGTTACAAAGAGGACGTGTCATGTTTCAAAAATTTTATTTGAAATAAAATTGTACACAATTTCAGCACTACATAGAAATGAAATTATTATTTGTATTAACATCAAATCTTGTATTGGTATCAGCACAACTTTACAAATTGTTAACTAACGAAATTTGTTAATAACTTGGCATACGCAATTTTATGTATTCAATTAATTGTAATATTAATTGTAATCTTAATGTAAGACATGGTTGTTATTAAAGAACCCTGAAAATGAAGTGATTTATTCCCACGATATTAAAATTATTGTTGTTGTCTATACTATTTTAACTCCATATTAATGTAATTTAAAAACTTCAACAATTTTGTAAAAAAATAAAATTATACATAAATTTTAATATTTTTAATAATTCATTTTAAGTTTTTCTTGTTAAAATAGATGAATTGATACATTTAAAAAGTTATACCAGTATATTAATGAAAATCATAAATGAAACGCCTCATTTGTTAAACCTCAAATTTGAATATTAACTCCCTTTGCAGGTACATTCCCCAAATACATTCATAATTACAAAAAACACATTAGAGACAACATTCAAATTTAAGATAAGAAAAAATTTATGAATGAAAACATAGCTCCAATTCCAAATCTGCACGAAATTCAAGGACTTTTTCTTTATATCTTATCTTATCTTATATAATACAGACGTTACTTCAAAAAAGAAGATGATTACGTCCTACGCGTCATGCATTTAGTCATGCATATTAACCAATGACTTAAATTCTGCCAAGTCACTGGTTTTTCTGGCTAGCTCAGGCAACCCATTCCATGCTCTAATAGCACTAGGGAAGAAGGAGTATTTGTACAAATTTGTCCTAGCACAGGGGACAAGGAATGTGCTTTTATTTTTGTGTCTTTCAGAGTATTTTATTAAGTTTTGTTTTTGTATTTGAAGATTATGGTTCAGTGTTTTATGTATATATCTTTATATTCTAAAAATAAAAGCCGTTCCTATTATTGTATACACTTAAATGCACAATGATTTTCATAATACTTCACTATTTCTTTCGGATATCAGAAACAGCCACAGACAGATACAGGCAGAGAGAGAGAGAGAGAGAGAAAGAGAAAGGGAGAGTGATAGAGAAGGGGCTAGAGTAAAAAAAATTCGCATTCATCAACAGAATGTTTTCATTTGTAACCCATCATCTAAACCTTTATCTTCATTACACCTACATAAGGTGCCTTACAAAAATGAACCAATACAATAATGGAGTGCGTACAATATTCCGATCATATAAAATCATTGATAGAGTACCTAATATTTTTATTGCATGAAGGTTTGTTGACTAAGAGATTTAAATTAAACTGGTTAAATTCAAATTTCACACATGCAACCCAAAAACTCTAAATATTTTTTTTTATCTTCTCTTGAAAGAGAGTATATAATTCCCTGGAATATTCTGAAGTGAACACAAAAAGGTACTAATAAGTAAAGTTTCCCTTTCAGACCTTGCGATCTATAGAACAGATGATGTAAAGGTCATCTGGTTTTTTTTTGGCCAACGGTTAAAGCGCAGAGTGTCATGTGGCCAGCACAACGACCATCCACCTTTACTTTCCCCAACTTAAGTCAGGTATTCATTAAAGTTGGGTTAACTCAATGGGCGTCCTAAAAATCCGGAAATTCAAAATCCCAGTCGAACCCACGACCCCAGGTTCGGAAGCCTAGCGCTTAACCACTCAGACATCGCGCCCGATTAGTACATTAAACATTTGTAATTTATTCTATTTTGAGAACATTTAGCCCGATTCGTTTTGAGTGTGACATGATAAAATAAACAACTGTTATTTTTATAATGAAAAATCTCTGGTACATTTGGCAGCTATGCCAAAGTTGTCAATTTCCTTTAAAATATATGATTTTAGAAATCCCGGCCTAGTCATCCGTAGGAAGGTGTCAAATGGCAGTAGATGAAGTGACCAAGGAATGCTGCGACAATGGATAAAAACACAATAGTAGACTATGTAACATCACCAGAAACTTCCTTAGTGGACACTGAATGAATTTGGTTTCACTCTAATGAAGCTCGGCAAGAGAATGAATGTTAGATCCTCTAAAATAAAAATAGTACTAAAGTGGAAAGAGTATACTTGTACTTTTTACAATCAAAAAAACAGAATGATTAATTTTTTACTTTGCCTCTTAATTCTTATCTAGACGAAATCCAGATGGAAAAATGTCTAGTATCGAGTACAGAAAGAGTTCTGGTCAATACGATGCAATGATAAGCTCACCAGAAAAGTTGTCATAACCTTGGAAAAAAGGATCATTACATCTGCACGACTCAATGGAATTATAAATGTTAATGGATTTCATTTATTGACTGACTATAAAGGGGGATTGAATTTGAAACCCGACTCAAGCTGGGCTGTGTTTGCTGAGTGCCCAAAATAAAATGGAACCCTTTTCCCAGATACCCCCTCTTCCACTTGTCATCAAAAAGATTAGACTTGTACACTGACAATTAGAATAAAAAACTATAAACATAAAAAAAATCAAATATTTGCAATTTAGCCTACAATTATTAAAATAAAAAAAAAGAAAAATGGTCAACTAGATCTCTTTAGATATGTATTTTCTTTAACCTCTTGATTATTGTGCTAAAACTTCATATATTAACATTTTTAACATCCATACTTATTGTATCATTACATAATATCGTTAAAATTTGTTCATTTTCTTCATGAGCATGTTTTTAATTAAAATAATAGCTTCAGATCTTACAACCAAACAAACCTACGGAGTGGGAACTTTACGTTGCCAAGCAGATTTCTCACAATATCATCATTGTACTTCCTATTGGCCTGGCTGTACGACTCCGCCAAGTCGAATAGAATCATGTGTTCCAGGAGCTCTCGGAGCTGCTCCTCCTGCTGCTGCTTCTTTTCCTCCTCATTTCTCTTGACGCAAAACTTAATCTCTTGTGAGATGTTGTTCTTGATTTCTGCTGCGTGCTTGATCATCTCTTTCAGATCCCCGGTGCCTTTGTCCTGAGCAACGACGCTGGAATGCAAGGCCTCTGCTCGAACCAACAGATTTTCCAAGTCTTTTAGCCAGTTTTTCTGCAGTCTGTTCGACTGAATGTCGGTCAGCCTCTGAAAGACAAGACCAGCCTCTTTCAACATTTTCTCTGTAATGAGGGGTTTCGTGGTGGAGGAAAGTATTTTATCTTTTGCTGCTCGCGCCAGTTCGAAGTTTTCATCCGTGTATGGTTTACGCTGGGTTTGAATGTCTTCCACAAAGTGCATCAGTGTGCGGATCTGAGAGATTTGCTTGTCTTTATCTTGTGTTCTGTTGTCAAACAGAACAATTCTGCCTTTGCATTCCTTGATCATGTCAGCGAATGGACCGGTCTGTTCCTTGCACCAACCCTTAAATGTCGTATGCGACCTATCTGGTTCACTATCGAACGAATCACCATTGGTCATCACCAGAATCCCATAATCCTGAATAAAAGTTTTGCCAAAGAGAGCTTTTAGAAATTTGATGGTGTCCTGCTCCTCTTCGGTGAATCTGCAGCCATACTTGACCACGACAAGAAGAGCGTGGTATCCACGAGGGTTCAAACCTATGGCGTACTCCAGGCTGTTCTTCACCAGGTTAACGGCTTTTTCGGAATTCATCCGCGTGTCACCAATACCTGGTCCGTCCACTACCTTTATTATTCGACCTTGACTTTCACACATTCCAAACTGGATGTCTGAGGTGACTGACTGTGTACTGGACACGCTCTTAAAGGCTTTACATTGTAGAATTGAGTTTCCGGTGGCGCTTTTACCGTTGCCAGTTTTTCCAATCAATAAAAGATCAATATCAGATGGATAGTTCATTCTGATGAGAAAACAAAATTTAAGTAATTAGATATATTTATTGATTTGATATAATAACCAAAATCAATCATCAATTTTCATAAAAACTTTTTTTTTTGGAAAATACAAAAAAAAAATAATTTATTTTCAAAATATATATCAAAAAATTTTCCTTATTTTAAAAAAAATATTTTTACTTTTTTATAAATGTCGAGTAAAAATGTAGTATTTTAAATCGCAGAGGTCTCAATGGAAAGCAACATTCTGTCCTTGGCTATGCTCATAATGTAAGACACTATGGTTTATTAAAGCAATATTAATCTATAAGAAAACTAAAAAATCAAATACATGGCATCCTTCAACACAGTTTTGCCATAAAGTCAATATCGTGTGATATAGACCGATTGATGCTCTGGCGTATCAGTTATTAGTTCAAGATCGGTTATGCAACACAAGAACTCAACTCGTATTCTGAGAAAATACAATTCTAATTAGATTTTTTTTTTCCTTGACATGTAAAATGTTCGCAAAAAACTAAGTTGTAAAAAAATAAACATTTCAAATATCATAGTAGGCTGAAAAAGATCCAGGTCATCTTGCAAAGACTATTAGTTGACAATGTGGGAGTCAATGGCCCTATAGACAATATGTAACTTGTTACACGATGCTAGACATACGACGAATAACATTCATAAAATAATATTTCCAACAAATTTTACAATGTATAAGACTTATTTTTAATTAAATAACAATTTTTTTTTCTAAAAGTTCTCAGTTATCCCACGTCCTCTTGGTGAAGCTAAGCGATAGCTGTATTTCATTGTTATCAACATATTTTTCAAAAGTAATAGGATATCATCTTTTAATAAGCCATGTTAGGCATTATTACTCATGGGCCTGGGAGAATTGAACCCCTGTGACCTCTTGCAGCTACGCCACAGACTTTGGACCCAAACAATCAAACACTTAGCTTTTCTTTTACAATAGTCAAAAGGCCAACCTGACACCAGGGAAACATATGCAGAAGTACGTTCAATAGGTGTTATTACTGTATTGTTATTGACATCCTGCTGACGTAGAGAGTGTATTGTTTGAAATTCTTGAGCGGTTGTGTGTAGATGTGTATGTGTAGCCACAGCTTTAAATAACCTCTGACCTTTCTCTTTCTCACACACGTCGAGACTGTAGTGTAACTCCGAGCTAAATTCAAGCTAATGTCGTTATTTAACAGAGTCCACATCGATCTAACATATAGGACAGTTGACAGTGGAAGTGTTACGTTGGGTACCCTAACAAAATGCCCCTCAAGTATTTCACTTCATTGCTTTATCATAAATAGTCAGTCTGTTTCCTTGTCCTCCAGTGACACATCATTATGATAAACCCTACGATATGGATGCATTTCTTGGGATTTATATTCCAAGGCTTGATTTACACGACATATACACAAATAGATTTAGGTAGTGTGGGTAGGTCCTAGGCTTTTATTTAGGTACTTCAACAATTGGAGAGCCTAAAAACATTTGAATGTGAACTCTTCACCCTCCCTTGTTTCAGCTGTGTAGTAGAACATGATGATTATGAAAGCAGTAGACTGAAACATAGTTCAAGCTTGTCATGTAGGCTACATCTTTCAAGTCAAATGTTCCCTCGTTTTGACAATACGTGAATATCTACTAGCCAGTAGCATACCGATGGAAAGGCGGGCAATGTAGCGTTTGGAGCGCGGAAATAGGTATCAAAACATTGCATTAACTATCATATATATCTGTCGCTACGACCGGGGAGGGGGGCTTAGTGGTCAAGCGCATGGAATCCGAATCTAAGGTCATGGGTTCGAATCTTTGTGAATAAGGGGATTTTAAATTTTGGGTTTTCTAGGGCACTCCCAAGTCCACAAAACTCTAATGGGTACCTGACTTTAGTTGGGGGAAAGTAAAATGCGGTTGGTCGTTGTGCTGGCGACATGAGAAACCTTGCTCGTTAACCGTTGACTTAAACATCATCTGCCCTATAGACCTCATAATCTAAAGAGGCGCTACGTTCTTCAAATTCATATAGATTTAAATAGATTATATGTAAGTTTTGTATTTCTTATGTCTGATCTAAAGGAAATGAGAATTATATACACAATATAGAGATGGGGAGGCACCGACAGATCCTGAACGCTTGACACCCTAGTTACGCCACAGGAGCACATTGCATTAGCACAATAAGTTGTCGAACTGTCTATCTTCGTGGGATTCTAACCAAGCGTACCAGCAACTTGTGTGCGTTTCAGAATTAACGTTTCTGAATATGTTTTTTACCAATGCATCATTTAAGTAGATGTTTCATCATCACGCAGCTCTTCTATTTCACATCTCACTAAACCGCCAAATTGTCATTTCTTCAAACTGTTGTCAATTATTAACCCTCTAATACCCGAGCCAGTCCACTCTATTCCCTAAGGGTGATATGCATATATAGGTCCTGCATATACATCACCTTCACCTATCCATTAGTCTGTTGAACCGTTGGGGCACCTCACGAGATATACATATACATAGACATGCAAAATATGTAGGTCGCAGCTGGGGCAGCGTATCCACGTAAAATACTGCGCTCCTCATTAATCTTCGGACTCGAAGTCAAG